ACATGGATAAGCCTGGAAGGAATGACCCTTACGGAAAGCGTGCCTTTTGAAGAGCTGTAATACAGGAAGAACTTCCTGAGCAGGCCAGTGCAGTTCAAGTGTGATGTCAGGGTCATTATTCCAAGTTCTTACCAAAACATCCTGGATCAATGCAGACATAGAAAATGAAAAACCTTTATCAGGAAAGCCTGATGGAGGTCACGGCCTCTTGGCTTTTGCCTTATCTACCACTGTTATTTTCTGTTCCACACAAACTGCTGTAACAGTTTTAATTAAGTTTCAGATGCAAATGTTCTCTATTTTAAAACAGAAAATAGGCATAATTGGATGTAAGACTCAGTATTCTCTAAAATCCTTTAACTGATCTTAAGAGAGCTGCAATTTCACCCTTCTTTTGATAGATGACCAGCACTGATGTTAGATTTATACTTGTGAAGAGTACAAGTCAGAGTCAAGGAGAAGCATGACTGCCCCAAACTCTCAGTGCCTCAGGAGGGGACAAGACCAGAGAAACATTTCTTCAGCTACAAACTTCCCATAAAATCTGTCCTTTACAAAAAATGCACCATAGGAAATCTCAGGAGAATAAAGAACAATACTGAAAAGAGATCTAATAATCAGTTACTTATTTTTCACGTGGAAGAGTTCAAAGGGCTGCCAGCACAAGTGTGTTGGTATGCATGAGCTGAGAATTAAAAATAGTAATATAAAAAGTGAATGCTTTTTCTTCCCCTTTCTTTATGCTTTATTTCTCTTCACTAAATGTACTTTGCACATTGTAAGGTAGATATAATATGTGTAGGAGGGATTGTCGAGGTTGCCATGGTTTCTCATTTTTAATGAGCTTTGAGCCTTCATAATCCAACCAAATACATTAATAATTACTACATCTATTTTTTCTCCCTTCCCCCCTCCCTCCAAAGCACTCCAAAAATTACTGGTGCTAAAAGTAAAACCAGTGATTTGAGAGACAATAAAACATCAAAGCAGAAGCCCACCCTCAAGGAGTCGGCAAACAAAGGCTTAGGGAGGAAACAGGAGAAAATTACCACCGTGAGTCAGGGATCTGTTCCATGGCCTCCTGTCTCCCTCAACATCTAAAGTCAGCGCAGTATTTTGTTTGGTTGGGTGCAAAAGCTCCCTGAACACGCAGCAAACCAAATGACATCTATGAGAATCAGAAGCTGGTGAAGCACCGAAGGCTGGCTGCACCAGCTCTGGTACTGTTTGCTAACTCTGCTCAAAGTGCAAGGACACACTGAAGTGCTCAGAAGTTTGTGGGCAGCCACCTCCCCCAAACACAGCTCCAGTGCTTGTAGCCTGGATTTGGCAGAGCAGGGGACCAATTGTCTGACTTCAAACCCAAGAATCTGAAGGGGGCAACTCAGGCACTTACAGGCAAAGCCTTTTTTAATTAATTCACTGACTCAAAGTAAACAAGACCAAAGAGGCAAAAAAACCACTACTCATTTAAAAAACAAACAAACAAACAAACAAACAAACAACATCTATTTCCTCCATAAAATGCTTTGCTTTTACACTACTGGATCAAATAAACAGAGGTAAATAAGATTAAATAAGACACTGCCAGCTAAGTGTACAGCTAAAGAGAAAAGTGCTTCAGCAACCATTGAAACACGTTTCATATGAGAACTTGTTGGCTGAAGCCATTTACTGTCATATCATTTTTGATGGTCTCCTGATACTGATGAAATAGGTCAAGGTGTAGAAGGAATTTAGGCTCTGGGTCTGTGATTAACTTCTAGACCCAAACACATTAGCAGAGGTAGATTGGTTACTTGCTGCCAGTGTTCACCTTACCTTGGGCAGTGGGGAGGAACAGAAATCCTCACCTTCGATTTGAGGTCGGATACGAGTTCTCTATTTTTATAGAGAAGGGAATTCTAGCCTGCAGGAAACCATCCAACTGGTACCTGTGTGCTTACACAGCTCACAAGCAGCCTAACAGCTGGGGCCAAGAGGCCTCAAAAGCATCAGGCACTGCAGGGACAGAGCATGAATCTCCAAGGGCTCCTTGTGGAAATTCCAACATGCAAGGCACTTGTGTGGATAACCATCTCACTTCTGAGAGCTGGACACAAAGACAGTAAAGCACAGACGTGGTAAGAGACTTGCTGAAGGCCACACAGAAAATCTGTGCCAGAGCAGGACACCAAATCAGCTCCCAAATCCCAGAGATTTCTCAGTTGTGGTACTCTATCCACAGACCACTCCTGTCTGTAAGGACAAAAAGGGACACCAGCACTACCTCTGTGTAGGGCAGACAATCGAAACCCTGCTGTGATGTCAGAGATGGGATGAACCTGGGGCTGCACCTGGAAAATTCCAAGGGAATTGGCTGGGAGCTGAACTGCAGCCCTGCTTTGGTGGCTGGAACCAGACTGGAACATGGAGATGGGGCAGCTGGTTCACAGGCAAGCTCTGGACAGCTTCTTCTGAATCAGCAATTCTCCAGTGAAAGAGCTTTTTCTGGCCAAAAATTACTGATATTATCCAAACCTTTATCTTTCTCAGGGACAGGGTAAACCCTGACAAATTTTCTTGAAAAAAAAGTTTTTTAAAAAAAAGGACCCCTAGCACAGAAATGCAATTTGGCTGAAATCTGGAGGAAAAAATTTAACTACTTCTGCAGTATGAATCATCACAAACTCAAACATTGTGAAATAAAGTTTTGGTGCCAACTTCCTGCATGAAGTGTCTGAGGACTCTGATGGACCAGCAGTGCTATTTCCCAATAAACTCTTACAGAATGAAAGAAAATTGCAATCTAAAAATTTCCATCCCACGTTGGAGCATGAATCAGAAGTTGCTGATTTCCCTTGGAAAGGTGGCTAGCATTTCACTGGGAGCTGGGGAGCAGCAGCTCCTCTGAGCAGAGCCTGGCTGGCACTCGGTGCCCAGCGTGCTCCCTGCTCTCCCTGCAGGACCCTGCTGAGGCTGCTGGACCCACAGCACAGCTTTGCCCCACGCTGCCAGGACTGAGCAGGGCATGGAACGGCTCCAGTCGCTCCCTTTCTGCATTTGCTCGTACCCTTAACGAGCCATAACCACCCTGTAACATTCCCTGCCACCTGCCTTTTCAAGCCATAATGTTAAAAGATTGCAGAGGACATAAAAATATTAGTGTATTTGGTCTCTTTTTTCTCCCCCCCCAATAATATTTCCACATTTATTTCCATATAATGACTCAAACTTTAAGGAAAAATCAACCTGGTCTGAGGTGATTCTTTAGACACATAAAATATGTGAAAAAGAAAAAACTGCAATGAGCAACAAAAAAGTTTGAGTCATTATACTGTCTATGTTTCACAGCATGATTTTTGATGCTTGTGATTTGTTTCTAAAATTATATCTTGTGTTTTGATTTATGAGAAATACTTTTAAATCCATGAGGTAAAACACCAAAAGAAGTCATTCCAACTGGGGTTGTCCTTGAAGACAAGCTGCTTCTTCACAGGCCCCACAGGTAACAGATCCTGGCATCTTCCTGCAGCCAGTGGTGGCACAAAGTGAAATTCTTCCTTCACGAGCTCTTACACAATTTCTTGTGCCAAGTACACCACACGACTATTTGTTCTCATCCTTTCTCTGTTACACACAGGAAGGAGCCCACATGGGGGATTTGAACAGCAGCAGGCCCAGGACCCACTTCAATAATTCAACTTTTAGCTATTCTTCAAGCTGCATAGCTTTAATAGCTTTTTCATTTGATACTGCTTCATTAAAGGTCATTTTTTGTGTGACATTTGCAGAACTAGTTCTCTAATTATACTGCTCAGCATATGAGAAGCTTTTTCAGGAACAGTTCATTCTCTTTTGCAAAGAGACAAAATTTAATTACAGAGTGGAAAATTTAAATAATGGTTACATAAAAAAAATACTTCTGTAAATCTCTTTTAGTTTAGGCTTTGAATTCTGAAAGGTCAGGCTCTTATAAGGTTTGTAGTTTAGAAAGAGATCATGACTTAATTATAGACCATCATTACGTACTTCAAATTGTTTTAGTGGACATTGTTCATTCTCCTTGGTCACAAATTGTGAATTCTGAAAACTAGAGACTGCCAGTGAGAATAACATAACCATCCCTCAGGGTTGGGTGCTGCACCTGGACATTTTCAGCAGAGTCAGATTAAAACTGAAACAAGGCCTGGCAGCTGCCTCTCCAGAAAACAGCTCATTGCTGAGAGATTGGCAGTGGCTGCAATCACCTCTAACACCGTGCTGCTCTTCCTGAGGAGGAATGAGACTGGATTTGCCCATAGTGAGATACAGAACTCTGTTTCTAAATTTACTTCCTGAAAGCTGCTATGAGTGTTCAACTCCCCTGAGTGCTGGATGCCTTGGAAATCCCAGCCATGGAGGAGACAAGGTTCATCTTAGCTGGGCAGGGCTCCTCACACAGGCTGCAACTCTGGAACTGGAAAAGCCAACGTTTATGTTCCCCTCGTTCACATTTTAACTTTTTCATTCATAAATGTATCAGAAAACTTTCTAATCTCATCCATCACTTTCCTAGAGCCCAGACTAAATTGCAACTGACCCCTCCACCAGCTAAATCCACCTCAGCTTTAAGGATTTCCTCTTCATTTCTGCAGGATGATTAGGCTTTTCCAAAACATGATGTTAGCAAAGGAAATATCTCATATTTTGCCTTACTGGTCATCCATATGCTGCTAAAAGTAACATGATTTTTCATTTCTCCAAGGCTGCTGTGTATTCTTTAATTTTTTTTTCTACTACATGACTATCATATTGCTTTAGTTTCTCTAATTTAGTACACAGTCAGTATTGGAAGGTTGGGGGTTTCTATCCTTCCATCACATAGTTATGACATAAGTTTGTGAAGCTCAGAAATTCAGTTAGCAAGAACATACAACAAAGTCTTTCTCTGCTGAATCACAGGATGCTTGGAATACAGAACTCAGAACTGAGGTTGAGCAACTGTTTGTTAACTCAGAGTTATTCAGCAGGAAACTTACCACATGTGCATGAAATGAAACTCCATGTAAGTTTGATTTCTCCCACACAAGGTCAGAAATTGCACCTTTACCTCCAAACCCAGAGGAGAACTGGATGCAATGGGTCTTCTGAGAGGCAGGGGAAGCTGCAAAAACCAGTTAATGAATTTGTAAGCAGACAAATAAGGTCCTTGCAAAGCCAGACTGAGGACAGTCAGCAGGCAGGGGGGCTGTGGCTGAGGGGGTCACTGTGTTCCCAAAGGTAATGCTAAAGCATTTTGTGCTATTTTGTGCTCCTTTCAGCATCTGTGAGCTTTGGGGCCAAGCAGCCTTCAGGAAATCTGCCAGAGTGGCATGTCTGGAAGCCCTTACAGCTAGGAAGGCAGCCTTGGCCCACAACATTTCTGCTTTTCCTGCTTCACAGTGATTTCAGTTCCTCCTTATTTTAACCCCCAAAATAGTTTTGTACTGAATCAATCCCTATACCATTTGGAGCACCCAATGACTTCAGAATAGATAGACAGACTGCAGAGGGCACATTCAACCCCAGCTACAGTTCCTCAAGCAATCTGAGAAAAGGCAAAAGGAAAGCTGAGCAGCTTTTTTTCTTTGAAAATGTGTATCGTAACATTGTGCATTATGAGGTTAAATAGATTTCACTATAAAGCAAACAGAGTTCATAAATAAAAGTTCATAAAGTTCATAAAGTTCATAAATAGTTTATAACAAATCCAAGCATCACTTTCAAATGCACATTTCCTAGTTCTGAGCAGTCAGTAACAGCACATCTGCAATGAGTTGGGATTACATTCAGATTTGTGCTCTGTACACTGAAATTTCTCTTATTATTTTTTATATCAAATTCCTTTTTTGATTGCAAGCTACAATCTACCCAGAGTACTGCCATCTCCTGCAGCACACGCTGCTCTCTCACACATTTTCAACCCAGTGGTTCAATACAAACCCTGTGCTGTTGTCCAGCAGCTGAGTGCACACACCCCACAGACATTGCCCAGGGCCACGCTTGCCAGAAAATCCATTCTGGCCAGGCTGGTGGCACCACCTGTGCCAGGGCCACTTGCCAGGCTCAGCGTGGGCCTGGGAAGGTCTCTGTGACGGTCCCAATGGCAGCTGTCCCACAGCACACCTCCCAGCAGGGCTGGGGGCACTGCCAGGGGCTGCAACAGCTTTGTGCAAAGGCAAGGAAAGCAGCAGTCCCCTGGCTTTTGGTCACCGTGACAAAGCTGGCCAGGGAGCTCCAGCTCTCCCTGCCCACGGCTGCAGCTGGAGGCTGGAGTGGCCATTTGTGTGTTCAGGACAAGGTCACCTGCAGCTGGACAAGGTCACCTGCAGCAGGACAAGGTCACCTGCAGCAGCTCATGGGCACCCGCAGCTCTGTGCCAGCAGCTCCAGTGCAAGGGACACGTGGGGCTCAGCTGCCAGGACACAGAGGGACACTGCACAGTGCCAGTCGGGCTGCAGGGGTGGCACACAGCCCAGTGAGGAAAGAGCTCCCCCAGGACTCTCCGGCTTTCACCGAGGAGCAGAAATGGCCTGGTGAAACAGCTCCTTCTGTGGCAGCTCACACACCCTGGAGCAGTTTAGTGCCAGCTCCAAGGGCTCTGAACATCATTCTGACCCTGGAGAAAGCAGGGCCTCTCCCTCAAAAGCAGCCCTCCCAAACTGCCTTCCCTAGATGTGAATCTCATTCTCTGCAAGATGACTGAGGCCCTATTCTTCCCTGCATCTTGGTGCACAGCCACCCTACCCAACAGCAAGAACTTAGGCCTAAGATATGTTTGCATGTTTACTATGAAATTAACATTTTTGTATACATCAAAAGCAGTGGTCATTCTTAATATACTAATTTTAAAAATTAATTAATAATTCAAATCATTTTCACATGATAGGACATGCTGGTTTAGAAATAAAGAAAATCAATATGGTAATTAAGAATAAACTAAATAAATCAAGTATGAGGAAAGCACATTTGAGAACAGTTCCCTGCTACAGGTGCTCCTTGTTAGATTAGAAAACAATAAATAACTTCTCCTAATGTCTTTCCTAGAAAAATACTCCAGATAAAGTTTCTCTTTCCAAATTAATCCTGTGGAGAACCACAAACCTTAAAGTCACTTTCAAATCAGAAAACTCAGGAGAGAAGGGCACCCCGAGATCCCAGAAAGCAAATGCTCCTGCCCCAGAGCAACGAGGGAAGCTGTCTGGACACCCAAAAGGCACAACCGTGTTATAAGAAGCTGAACAAAACAATAAAAAAGAATTTGAGCTTCAATGAGAAACACACAGCATATCTGACTGATGCCAGAAAGCAAATTTTAAAGTAGTGTTAAACAATAAAAATATACATTTAACTCTATTTAATTCTTCTCCAAAGATAAAAACCCCAGAGTCATGCTGACTACTAGAGTTAACTGAAGTGATGAATGGAGTTTTAGGGTGCATCTTCAAATTGTTTCCTTAAAAAAGTCTCCCCAGATTTATGCATAAGATGAAAGGGCTTGTCCACAGAAATTTAAGTTAAATTATCAATTTCCTCCACTGTTAAGCACATTTATAAACTTAAATGTGACAATTAGATTCCTCCATGGTAGAAGGAGAGCCACTGCCACTGGTGGGTGGTTTTTTTGCTTGTTTTTTTTTCCTAAAGAGATAAAAAAGTAGGGCTTCAATAAAAGTAAAGTACATTGACTTTCATAAAACACAAAATAAAGGTCATGTAAAAAGGCTTTAAGTCTTCTGGGAAATAAGAATTTAGTTCTGTTCAGAAAAATAATCAGTAGCAGACCTGGTCTGTTCTTCTGAGTCTTTCCTGCTCAAGAAGTTTTATTTCCCCTTTTTTCTGCTTATAATAGGAGCCACTGAAAATTTAAGACATATTTCAAATATTTTCCATTTTACTGCAATTCAAAATAGAGAAGTGGAAAATACCTCCACAAAGAGTTTACAGTGGCTGAGCATTGAGAAACAAGCCATGTGTACTCATAGGGACACAAATTATTTCATCTCCTGTTAAATTTCAGTCTTTTCCACAACAGGCTAATTGTAAATTCAAATGAATTTTCAGCTCTTGAATCCCAAAACTGCTTATGAGTTTACACATTCATAGGGGAAGGGGGGGGAATAGACAAAATACAAACAAAAATCAGGATGACATTGATGGTTTTATTCCTGTTACCCAGGTCAGTTCTCAAAGACTCGACTTTGAACACATTCCCTCCACTGTTGGGGCACCTCTTGGAAGCTGTTAGAAAAGCTCAGGTTTTGACAAGAACATGGCTCCAAGACTACCAAAGCTATGAAAAATAGTTCATTTTAATTTTGCAGAATTTGTCTCAGGCCCTTAAGTCAGGCACAAAGGTGGGAAAAGGATCTCCTCATTCTCCCTGAGATTCAGGAGAGGCTGTCAGAATTGGAATAGATGAAACCTCATTGTGCCTTTCTCCATATTCTCCTCACTGACTCTTTTCTTATCCCCACAAGAAATGCAATTAGTTAGATGCTGAGCAATACAATGGAACAATTTCTAATTGACAGAGGAAAACAAAAAGATTACAAAACCAATTAATTTCTTCTTTATTGCTTCAGAATTTGTAATAATTTGTGTTCAGGCAAACGGCAATATCTTTCATCTGAGAAACATTCCAAACTAATACTCCTGTGGTTTCTTCTTTTGTTTGCGGATATATAGCAGCTTGTTAAGATCATGATTAGATCATGACACTTTCTAACTCTTTGGATGGTGATTCAGAATTGCTCAGAATTGCTAGGGAGAGGCATGGCCTGGCCTACAGAGTCAATGACAGACAGTAAGACTCTTCTGGAATGGAGTAGCACTAGGTCTGCACCTAATGTAAATATTTAACAACCTGTTTCCATCTTGCTCTGTTAAACAACAATTGCTCATTTCACTTCTCTTTAGGAAGGTGTTCAGAGTTGTAAAATGCATTCACTATCTTTCCAGATCAAGTCCCTCTGCGGGAGGTTCAGCATTACTTTGTGTAACTGCCCTGCCTGGGGTCCAGCTCTGGGCTCTGAGAGCTCAAGGTGTGAGCAGAGAACAGCTCTGCTGCTGTGAGTCTGGAAACTGCTTAAGGATCACCCTGGGATGTGTCTCAGCCTCTCACAGAACACAATACCAGGTTCCTTATAAATGCAATCTCGAGAGCTAATAAAAATCCCCTCCTAGAAAAGAATTCTCTCTGTCTCCTGGCCTCCCTCCCATCAGCCTTTCTCCCTCCCTCCTTCCCGTTCTCCACAGGTGTTCATAGGCAAGGCTACAGCAGAGCAGCTCTAACTTGCCTGCTGGGCCTGGGCAAAGGGAAGGCAGCTCACTACAGAAGCTGCAATTAAAACAAACAAACAAAAGGGCTCTGAAGTGGTGAGCATAAGTGAAAATATTTCTAATCAAGTCTGATGGCCCAGGAAGACAAATTTCATTATGTCAGATGGGGCCAACCTCCACGTTCACTGTGTGGTTTTTGCCTCACATTCTTCAAACCATGACTGCAGAAGAGGATAAGGTACAAGACAGAATCCAGCTGGATATACATTTCCCTCTAGTAGCGTGCCTGAAAGCTGCAATCCATTGTGACACTAAGCCAACACCATCAGCAAATCCCAGGAAACGGGGAATGGCATAAATCAGGTGAAGGATGAACTTCTCTCCCACTTTCTGCAACAGGTTGATGCATTTTAGCTCCTTCAGGTGTTGGCAGCCACTCAAGGCCATGAAAACTGCCAGTCCTGCAGCTTTCCTCAATACAGAGTGCTTGTCTACACAGGGAAACAATTGCAGAATAAGCTACAGCATGGATTTAGGCTTTTATCTATTCTGGTCTCATAACTGGTTCATAAAAGCACAGAAAGCCCAAGTTGCTACTAAATAGCATTCTCAATATGCCTTAATAGACCTCTCAGACATTCTCATTGCACATTAAGAGAACTTGTTTGAAGCACAAGGGAGTTTGGAGACAGTGTGTCAGTGTGAGGGCTAGCACAGCTCGGGATAAGTCAGCACACAAGGATTGTCACCTTTTCTCAAGGCATCCCAGATATTAACACTCAAGAGGCAAAGCAATGCTAGGAGCAAACTGCACAGTTGTCATAACAACCACACAGCACGGCC